AAAATGTAAAGGGTTCATTAAACTCTACAAGAGCCATGTCCTTGTTTTGGCAGAACCCAAACGAAATGCGAAAAGATTTTCAAGCTGGGAAGAAATTACCATCTGTTTTGGCAGTTCCTAGAGATGTATCTCTGTCATTAGGCTTTAAAGCAGGAGATTGACAGTCAAAATCATCTATTTTTCTGCCATCATCATCATCATCATCATCATCTGAAACATCATATATTCATTCAGTCATTTGAAATCTGAAATATAATAATAGCTTAGTACCTTAGAATAGAATACCTGTAGTGCTACGGTTGAAATTTGAGCTGAAGACAGACATCTTCGGAGGTCTCTTTGACAACCACCCTACACTGACATTCCAATTTAAACTCTCAGCTTTTTGGCTCTCGACGTCGGGTTTATGGGGGTTTCTCGGCAACTGGTTACAAAATGGAAGTGCAGATAGTGCAGCTAAGTTGCACCTTCTAACCATTGGACTCCTTTTTCTCTGACAGAAGAAAAATGGCTGAAGTTTTCTGCCTTTTCCTCTTTCATACCTCAATCCATATAGTTTTCTCTCAGTGATTTTTGTTGGCTTTCTCCTTGGAATCCTCTTTTTCTTGCATTCCTGTGGGATATGTAATATCTCACAGAACCATCCACAAAGCCTTTCGGTTAACCCGACTGTCGTTTCAGTAACTATACTGGCTGAATTATCCTCCATGGACTCCTTTACTTCAATGCCAGCAGTTTCTGCAGGAGCTTTCTCACTTTCCATTTCATTCTCCACTAAGATTAGATCTCTACAACTAACTACGGCTTCTGCATTGACTCGATTAYCATCTTCCAACTTCTTACTGCTCTTTCCACACCTGTTCTTCTGAAATCCAAGTTTTCGGGGCCTCGGTTTCGGTAGAGCTCGAAGCTTTCGAGTCCTCGATTTCGGTAAAACCCGATTCGGAGTTACTGGTCTGGGTGTCTTCGGCTTTGAGAAGGCTTGTTTATGCTTTGCAGGCATACTCGGTCCTTTGCTCTTTCTAGGTCTGCCTTCTCCAATCACTTTTGGTCTGTACATTTTCTTTCGAGGTCTCTGATGGGTTCTTTTGGTTAAATCTGTTTCATTTTCCTGTGTTCTCTTTCTTTTAGTCTCCTGCGGAGATGGAGTTGAAATGGACGGTTCCATTTCCTCTCCATTCATCTGTTTCTCATTCGTTGATGGAGGAGATTTTTCAGCCATTTCTTTTTCCATGCTCTACTCATAAAACTTCCACTTAATCACAGAAGAACCATTAGATTTCTCAAAAAGAAAAAATAAGGTGGGTTGCATATCAGATTAACWCACGATGTTCTTCTCGGTTAAGAAATATCTTCAACAAAATCGCAGCATAGAATCTAGAGAAAATCTTGGTGGTTAGTTTTATTGATTTATTTATCATTAATTTTTTTTCCATCTTTCTTGTTAGTTATATATACAGATAACTGATTCACCCAGATTTGAATCACTGATTTTCAAATCGTATCTTAATTTTAGGATATGAAATTTTTTTTTAATAGTGGACTTTTTTCATGGTCAACTTTCAGAGAATGTGGCGATTTGAAGTTCCATAAACTGTTGAAATAGCAATTTTCCGTGGTCGTCACTGTCAAAGCTTAAACAGAGTGAGCTGAAGAATGAATTTGAAAGGGAGAGAGGAGGAAGACGTTATGTTGAAATTATTTATTTATTTAATTTTAAAAAAAATTTGAAAAATGACTTTCCATAGCATCCTTTACAAATATGAGATTGGTATCTAATTTTTTCCAGTGTGATCCTTTAAAAAATTGTAAAAATAGTCTAGGTGACATATGATTGATATTGGTGCTCTACATATTTCTCATTTTAGGTTTTTTATTTGTATATTTCAGTGAGATAAAAAGATCATTTGGAAGAAATTAAATCTTTCATGTTATATTTTAATTCCTTTATAAAGAATTCAAATTTGAGATTGTAAAACATAGGCTCTAACTTAAATTTAAAATGGGTAGATCTCCCAAAAAAAAAACGAAAGTGGTTGATCTGATTTATATAGTATTGGAGCTTTTTTTCTTTATATTTAAAAAAATATATAATTATCTATTTATTTGAATATTTGTATATCATTAGTATTTATTTTATAGTATTTTTTTGGAAATCAGCATAAAAAGTTATTTATAAAAATAAAATCACGTGTAAATAAATGGAGTATGGTAATCCTATTTAGAAAAAACTTTCCTCCGAAGTTAAAAAAATCTACCTGTTTATATGTTATTGGACCATGTATGAATTCAGGAAGAGTTTTTCCAGAGGGAATTTTCCCTCTTGAAGATACAGGAGGAATCTCTTCCTGAATTCCTGCATGGTCTAGTGACATGTGGATCACATGGAAATTATACCAAATAAAAAAAAACACTTTTCTATATATTATTGTACCACTTAGGAATTTAAGGGAAGCTTCTCCTAAATTTTCTCGAGGGGAGTTTTTTACTTTTTTTTTAGAGTATGACACTATTCTCATTTATTTTTGCTCATGTCAACATCATTTAAAAATGAGGTGGATGTTAGCCACTTCAATATGTTGTAGGGTCAAGCGGTTGCCTCTTCCGTAATACTATAAAATTTTCGGTGTTTCTTGGCAATCATAAATTGTAGGGTCCTTGTGCTTAAAAATGAGGTGTAGGTAATTCCGAGAAAATTTTCCGAATTTCTTGGCAACCTTTCATATTATTTTGAAAATTTTGAAATGAAGGCACATCCCTGATTACACATTTAGTCAGATGTTCTTACATGTAGATTCGTAGCAGAGTTAATATATATATATATTTAAGGTTTTTCAAGTTAGTGTTCTTTCGTGGAAAAATCAAAATCTTCCAACAAAATCAGAATAATAAATATCTGCAATAAAATCGTCTAGAGAAAATCTTGGTGGTTAGTTATTTATACAGATAACAATTAAAATATTCACGTTTTCAAATTGTAAACATATCTAAACTTTTAGGATATGAAATCTTTGAAGAATGGGCTTTCCTTCTCTATTCTCCATGTTAAAATCATTTAATAGAAACAACAACTACCTCTCTAATACTGAAATTTTTTTCATTGTTTTTTGGCAACGTGAGACTAGTCCAAGAGTTGGTATAGGCAGAAAATATCATAATTGAAAAATATTAAAAGTTAAATCGTTCACAGCTATTTAAATAATAAAGACTAAATTTCTTCTTCCAACATTAGGGATCAGAATCTATAAAATTTCTAATTAAAATTAATCCGCGTAAACTACATAAATACAAGACTCCTTTTCTAATAAAACCTAGATTTTTTTTCACAGCGGAAGTCATGTATTATTATTGTTTTATTAAAAAAAATTCTAAATTTCCAACATGCTTTTTCTTTCTTTCCAAAATGTCATTATATTATATTTTAAAATATATTATTTTTAGTAATTAAATGATAATATTTTGACAAATAAATTAAATAAACATAGTAAAGTTTAATTTTCAATGATTCTCCTTTGAATTTCCGACGACGTATATTATTTTATAGAGTTTAAGGTTTAGGATTTTATTTTTTTACATTAGGTGGATTGCTATAAAAATGAAAATAAAATAAAAAGAATCCAGACTCATTTAGGACAGATTTTCATTTGGTTGACCTAAGCCACGTGATTATTTCGACATTAAATTTTTTTATGTTATATTCCAATTCCTTTATAAAGAATTCAAAATTTGAGATTGTAAACCATAGTCTCTAACTTAAATTTAAAATGGGTAGATATCCCAAAAGGAGAGTGGTTGATCTGATTTATATAGTTTTGAAGTTTTTTTTTATATTTAAAAAAGTATAGACATTTATTTATTTGAATATTTCTATACCATTAGTATTTATTTTATAGTGTCTCTTTTTTTTTTCTTTTTTGAAAATTCAAGTACTAAGTGAATATAATATTTTTTCAATTTATATACAATTACCAAGTCAGCATTGTATTGAAAGTTATGTGAGGTTAGTCAATATTAAATAATTTTATTTATAAAAATATAATCACGTACAAATATAGTATGGTATTCTTGTAGTGCATAAATTTTTTTTTTTGGAGTATAAGACACTATTCTCATTCATTTTCGCCCACGTGAGCATCATTTTTAAATGAGGTATAGTTTTAAGTGTGAATAGAGGGTGTAGGTACTTCCGCAATAGTAGAAAATTTTCCGTGTCTTTGTGGAGTCTTGTGAGACTAGCCTAACCGTTGATATATTAAAAGTTAAAAGCACTCAATTCAGCTTTTTTTTTTCTTTTTTAATAACAAAGACTAAATAAAATATATATATACACACTCAAATATTATTAGGGATTTTTTATTCAAATATTAGGGATGAGACCCTATAATTAGCCTAATTAAATCAATCATGTACAAATTCAAACCATGGACAGCACTCCAAAAAAATAGACTTTAAAAAAAAAAGAAAAAGAAAAAATAAGTGAGTCAAAAAAGAATGACTAGACTTCATTAAAAAAAATAAGTGAGTCATATTGTTTTTTTTTTATAGGGATGGGAGATCGAACTCACAACCTCTTGGTTGGGGGTATATGTCAATTACACTATGTTCGACGAGTTATATTGTACTTGATATTTCAGTCCATGCAATATTTCGTTTCGTAAATATTTATAACTCAAGATTTCTAAAATTTAGATTAGGTTTTTTTTTTAATTGCCTTCGATAAATGTCAGTTATTATGATACTTTAAAATGTCAAAGCAAATTGACATGTACTAGAAAAAAATTATATTTTAAAAGAATCCAGGCTCATTTATGACTGATTTTTAATTAGCTGGGCTAGGCCATGCGCAGATAAGATTATTTCGAAATTAAGGCCCAAATCTGATAGTTAAGCCTAGTCCATAAATATTCTTAATTAGAGTGAGCCCAGCCCATCATTTGGAAACTCGGCCCATTAAATATCGCAGTCACTGACCAACCCTCCAGAGTCTAGACTGTAGTCGCTGTTGCTCAACTTTGTCATAATCGTAGTTCTTCTCAGTTCCCACCTTATCTTCTTCTTCCTCCAAATTCTCTCCTGTAACTCCTTAACAAGCAATTACAATGGCGGAGGACGACTCAAGTGCAACCATTGCCTCTCAGCAGGAAGAAGAAGAACAAGAAAGCAGGCAAAATGCACAAAATCTGGATGCCCAGAGTTCGTCTTCAGATAGCTCAGAATCCGAGTACGACTCCGACGGTTCATCAGACTACGACGACGAAGTGGATGAGCCACTTGTTTATACTCGGCCGGGAGAGGAGCCGCCGGAGTCGGATAACACTCCGGAAGTGAACATTCGACGGTTTAGTCAAATTCTCGACGGCAAGCGAATGAGGAGGCAGCAAGAAGAAGAGGACGAGAACTATGTGTATCATGAAGACCTTTTCGATTTTCCTGAGGACCCTGAGAATTGGAGGGAGGAGGATTTGCAGGAGCTTTGGATGGATGCTCCATTGGAAATGACGAAGCCTGGTTGGGACCCAATTTGGGCGGATGAGGAGGATTGGGAGATTGTGAGAGATGAGGTTGCGGCCGGGAAAGATCCACCAATTGCACCATTTTACGTGCCCTACCGGAAACCTTACCCAGCAATTCCCGATAACCATTACGATATATCAAGTCCAAAAGCAGTGATTGAAGAATTGGACAGGATTGAGGAATTTCTCAGATGGGTCAGCTACATTTTCCCTGATGGAAGCTCGTATGTCTTTTCTATCCCCTGAATTTTCCATTTGCTGTTTTGTAATTTGCTTGAAAAGCTCCCCTTCATTTGGTTTTATCACAATTTTGGAGACATTATTCAAAATCTAGCTCCTCTTCAAGTAGTCGAGCATTTGGCAGGAGAATCTATTTACTGATAAACGTTCTTAATTTCTTTTAATACTCTGTATTTCTTGTGCTCTGATATGTTTGAATGTCCATGGTTTGAATTTCTGCTTTTGCTTGATCAAGGTATGAAGGAACTGTTTGGGATGATTTGGCTCATGGGAAAGGTGTTTACGTTGCTGAACTGGGGCTCGTCAGGTCGGTCTGTACGTTATCATATCTCTGATGTGAATATCAGGGTTAAACACATCAAGGGTTCATTCTAGTTGTCCAACTGAAACTTGTGAAAGAAAAAATGCAATCTTTTTTTTTTTTTTTTTTTACAAGGCACAACTAGGTGATTTTATTTCAGGATTGATGTCTTAAATATGTTTTTATGATTTCAGTTGGTTCTTCATTAATAGTTAAAAAAAAAGAGGCACCTTATGGAGAATTTGAGGAAGATGTACTGAATTTCATGTCAGTTTTATCAATAATTGAAACAATGCAAAAGATTGTTGATGTTAACAATTTAAGTGCATTTGTTGCTAAAGGGGAGGACAGTGTTTCAGCCGTTAAGGTCTTTGTCTCTTAGTCTTAGAGATAAAAGGGTAATAAATCACGATGAACCGCAATTTTAACTAATGATCCATTTTGTTCTTTCATCTTCTTATTGAAAGTTAGTTTCTCATTAGGAATAAAAAAACCAATTAATCAGTCCTATCTATAAATAGTGTTCATCGATGTGAACTAATTTTAACCCCTTTCTTTAGAGAATATGAGCTTATTTAGTCCCCAAAAGAAACCATAGATCCTGTGGGGAAATGACCCTATATTAAGGCTGTGAGATTGAATGGAGAGGAGCAGAAGAATCCTGAATGGTACTTGTAGAGATTTACTTGACTTAGCTGTTTTTGTAACTTCCAATTGGTGTATCCTCTTTGTCGGGCGTTCCCCTTTTTGTCACTTTTCATATTTTATTAATGAAAGTTTACTCTCTCGGAAAAAAATGAGTCATTTAATCATTAACTGGCAAGACTCTAGATTGTCTAAAATCCCGTTGTGGCTTAGGTATATTCAACCTATTCAGTGTTGTGTTCTTTTAAAGCTAATTTTCTTTATCAGCATCTAAAAACATTATTTTCTCGTATCCTGTTGCTTTTCTATCTCACAATAATTAATATTTACTTTTGTATTAAGAACGTTGTTACATAAAAATTAACGTTATTGTTAATGATGTCCTCGTTGTGACTATCATATGTTTTGCTGGTCCAACTGCATGCATACTTTAGATTTGTTGTCTATTGACTAATACTTGAAGCATCTCCATCTTTGTAGGTATGAAGGTGAATGGCTTCAGAACAATATGGAGGGTCACGGAGTGGTTGAGGTTGATATTCCTGACATAGAACCTGTGCCCGGTTCCGAGTAAGTTGCATTGTGTTTTTTATTTCCAGTAATGTGTTTAAAGCAGTAACTGACAGATGGAAAAGAAGCAGTAATCTCTTCAAAAGATGTGAACTAAGTAGTTCTCTGCAAATTTTATAGGCTTGAAAAACAGATGCGTGCTGAAGGGAAAATAATCTCTAGAGATTATATGACCCCAGAAGACAGAGAGTGGCTGGAGATGGATATTGAAGATAGCATCCGTCTGGCTGGAGGAAATTACGAGATTCCTTTTTATGAGAGAGACGAATGGATCAAACATTTTGGAGAGAAACCGTAAGTTCTTAGTTCTTTTATCATATAAACTTAACCATTCATCACCAATATAACTTTCTTTATTTCCCCCCCTTTTCTCCTTTAGTTTGTATTACCATTGCATGGAGTGTGGTCTTTGCACAAATGCCTGCACAGCCAAAAGTGATTAGCTGCTAATAGTTATCTGCCACGTGCATTATTACTCTTATAGATATAAATTGATAAAATAATTTAAGCATTCTTTTTGGATAAATAAAAGAGAGATTTTTTTTTTAAATGTGTTTCATCACATGCTAGGGAGAAAGGTCGGTATCGTTATGCTGGTGAATGGAAGCACGGTAGGATGCATGGATGTGGAGTATACGAAGTTAATGAGCGCACAATATGGGTAGGTTAAACCCTTTTTTGGGTGCTGAACTGAACAACTGATTTCACTTTCGGACATCCATATCATATATGGTAAATGAATCAGACTGCATAATCTGAGTGAGCAGGGCAGGTTCTATTTTGGGGAGCTGTTGGAGGATTCTACTGGATGTGATGAGGACACTGCAGCGGTATTATATTGATATGTCTTAATGTTTACCTCAGTAAGATATTTCTCTTACACTGTCGTTTTCCAGCTTCATGCAGGCTTAGCGGAAGTTGCTGCTGGAAAGGCTCGAATGTTTGTCAACAAACCTGATGGAAGTATGCCCCTTGAACTGTTAATAATGTACTTAGGGGAGGGGTCATTTTTATTCTCAAGTTCGTAAAGCATGTTTAGAAATCTAGATTGTAACTAATATGGTAAATACTTTTGGTTGGTCGTGATCTAGTACTCCATATGATTGGCCAATTAATATATTTGGCATATCTAATATATTTTTATTTGTCTTTTTGTTAAGTCATCTTTGGGCTGTCATCCTAAGCCCATTTCTCATAAACACTGAACTCTGCCTTCTCATCTTCTCCATGGTAGTTTAGGTCTAAAACTTGGGTCAACTTGATTAGGATTCCTATAAACACAGATATTATGTTAGTCATTCAGTAATAGACACAAATGTGAAATGACTTAGCATTTTCAACGGTCAGTGGATACCATAGTCACTCAATTATCGTTAGATGATATTTCTTTCATTTATGACTTGGGTTTTACTTTATCTACATAGTGGTTAGAGAAGAGAGGGGTCCATATAGTGACCCTCAGCATCCCTATTTCTACGAGGAAGAAGATACGTGGATGGCGCCGGGCTTCATCAACCAGTTTTACGAAGTAGGTTGACTTATTTTTTTTCCACATCACTGTGAAACTATTAATTCAATGAAACTATTAATTGAATACATATATGTATATGCTTTCCAGGTCCCTGATTATTGGAAAACATACGCGCACGAGGTAGACACAGAGAGAGAAATGTGGTTAAACTCTTTTTATAAAGCTCCACTGAGATTACCAATGCCTGCAGAACTTGAATACTGGTGGTCACAAGGTACGTCTGGATAGCTAGCAATGACAGGATTCTCCACCTACTCTTTGAAATAGAAGCTTTCAAGTATTAGTCTGCATCTTTCTGCTGTTTATACACCTGCGCGTGGTGGTATAGTGCATAACCAACTATTTCTCCTTATCTGATACTTGCAAACATTTTTTCTGTGTGTTAAGAAACGACGTCACTCCCTATGAAATTATCCTCTACTGTTGCACCGGGAGCTACTCGCCAAGAGAAATGATAGAAATATTGGAAGAGGGGAGATAAAATACAAAGAACCACACCCTTTTTGTTTTGAGCGTGATTACTTATGAATATTGATTGATTTTGATAAGATTATACCGATGATATATCTTTAACTGCAGAATCCCCTCAAATTCTTCTGAGTTTATTTATAGAATACTAGATATCCTTAATTGTCACAAAATAGCAAGAAAATCTAGAAGCTAAAACTACATTACCAGGTAACAATGAACAACTTTTTATAGCTCAGATGAAAACCCTGCCTCTGTTTGTCTTGAGTGTTGAGTCCGGGACAAGCTCAGATTATTGAAACCCACCAAAGAACTTGGCTTGTCGAACCAGCAGTTGCGATCACAGCCTCCGAGAAAGCACTTTCTGAACTTAATCAGTTAGATGATGTTGTTTGAAAATGTGTGCATATTATTTGGCTTGGCCTGTCCTTTCTATTCTTTTCTTTTTTAAATTCAATGAGAGAGTGCTTTTATGCTGGTTTATATTAAGCTACATTTGCCCCACAGATCATACTCCCGAGTTTATTCTCGTCAACAAGGAACCAGAGCCTGATCCTGAAGATCCATCAAGGCTCGTATACACTGAAGATCCTCTCATCCTACACACACCAACAGGACGATTAATCAATTATGTTGAGGATGAGGAGTATGGGGTTCGCTTATTTTGGCAGCCACCGCTGAAAGAAGGAGAAGATATAGATCCAGAGAAGGTTGAGTTTTTACCACTTGGCTTTGATGAGTTCTATGGTAAAGGGGTAACTGAAAAGAAGGAAAATATTTGGATGCGGCTTGTATCTGGCCTGGAAAATGGATTGAAATCAAGACTCGAAAAATTTGAGAAATGGGCTGACGAGAAAAAGAAAGATAGTGAGATGAAGAAGCAGCTTATTGAAAAAGAACTTGAACTGATAGAAGCTGAAATTTGTCTGGAAGAGGCCATTGAGGAAATGGAAGAGGAACTGAAAAGGAAAGAGAAGGAAGAAGAGAAGAAGGTGGAGATGGATTTGCTTGATGAAGATGTTCCTTCATCGACCAACCAAGACAAAAAGGCTTCAGTTGAAGAGGGAGCTGAAGAAGAAGAAGAAGAAGAAGAAGAAGACGACGACAACGACGACGTGGATGATGCTCCACCATCCAGTTTTGGCTCTGTTTCAGCCGATCGGGACCTATCGAAGGACCAGAAGCCAAAAAAGCCAAGAGATTCACCATTTTCTACAGCTTCGCTGCATTTTGCTTCTAGTACTCTTGTTTCAGGGGTCAGTTCTTAATTTTTTTGTATTCTTTTCATGTCTCTTCAATCATGACCGTTTCCCTTCACCTTGCTTTGCAGGTTCCATCGAGATTGATTCAATCCATTTTGCCTTGGACAAAGGGTAGGTCACCCTCATCGTGTGCTAGCCATGATTACTGCTTAGAATCATTTCATTCGGTTAGTTTTCCAAGAACGCCAAGTTCAAAGGGAAGCTTGAAGGCCGCCATTATACCATCAAAATGGCAGAACCAATCCAGAATTCACCCAAGTCGAAAGAGATCGCTGCTGCGTCCCATGGCTGAATCTCAATCATGTCATTCCAAATCATTAAATCTGGACCACTCGGCAGTGTGTAACAACCAGCTCTCCGAAACAGTAGGGAATCGATACAGCATACTGTCTTGGCACACACCATTAGATGATTTGGAGTCATATGCAGAGACTACCAAAAGATAACCTGTTGTAAAACCTTCGCTGAGAAGTAATTTTGCAAGAGCTACATTGGATTGGTTGTATTTCTTTAAATGTACATGACATGGGGATGCTTTTATGATAAACTTGTATGTTTCTAGTTATTGCCCATCTTTTTATGAGCTTGACAATCTCTCTCTCTCTCTTGTATGGTTTTCAATATCAAAATAATTATAGTGTTGTTCAATCATTTCTGTTGGCTTTTAGTTTTTGATTTTTAGTCTGCAAATTGAAAACTGAATTCAATGTGTAAGATTATGATCTAGTAGTTTAACATGATGTTGTACATGTGAGGAAAAAAAAAATGGTCAGAGGAAGGAAACTGATAGTGACAGTTTCCTACTCTCCTTGAATTATCACTCTCGTGATTAAATATTGGTTTAATTGCAGGAGTCAGCAGGTTGGAGTTGGCGGACAAGTAACAATGGAGGTGGAAGACAATACAAAAAAATGGTAGATTTTTATCTTTCTTATTACTATGTATTGTTTTATCTAAAACTGGAAAAAATTGTACCAAAATATTTGCTGAATATTCAACTGTTGAAAAGCAGGAAGCTTCTTCTCCAGTGTGTCAAAAATGAACTGCTTAACTGATATTCTTGCTGACATGGCTGCTGATTGAATCTACTATTTGGATCATTGTCTTTCCAAAAGAATCATTTTGAGGGGGAAAAAAGACAGCCTTTGTAGAAAAAAAAAATACTATTCCAATTTCCAACATTGTGTATTGACTGACAACTTGTTAGAACATCAACCCAATTATGGTGGCCAGCAGCCAAAACTGCACAACTGTCAGTTGTTGTGACTCGTTAAGACGCCGCAGCCAGTCTGACAGAGTTATGAACGGGCAGTGTCACAAATAACATTGTGATATTGGGGCGTGGCGTGCTAGATTAGTGTAAATGCATCGGTTTTATCTACTTGACTAGCTATCATCAATTCTTAGTGCGACCCGTTCAAGCTTCTTTGACCTCTGGATCTTGGTTAGGATTTTGGAATAAACAACTCTTTCGTGTCACGACTAAGTTTATAGATAGTTTTAAGTTTAATTACATTTATCAGACCATATCTACCTCAAATGATAGCTTCTTAGTTCCAGTTAGCATAACGTGTCAAAATTGAAAAAGTTAAGAGCAGCGGAATTCCCATATTCTTTGAACCTTGAAAATAAAAAAGAAGAAGACAAAAGAAAATTGAACATTGGCCCACATCAACCACATAAGTTATGCCTTCACTAGACAACCCCCAATTCAGCTGAGCCGACGTTGGTGTTCAATTCACTATTTTCTTTCCCAACCAATCTCAATTCTCAACTTTGATTTAGAAATAAATTTTTTATTGAAAAGATCGTCCGATATTTATTCATAATTCACTATTATTTTAGTGAACTTTAGCCTACGCAACTTTATAACAGTGAAAATAATTATTATAATAACGAAAGCAACGTCGGGATTCGAATCTTTTCAAAAAAGTCTAACTTAAAATAATTAGTGGACATGCATATTGTGCTCATAGTACCATAAATTTTCTTTATTTATTATAAATTAATTAATCAAGTCGACCTAATTATTATTTTAAATAGTTCAAATATTTGACAACTTCAACTTCGTTTAATTCGTATGTGAAGGTGGGGGTTCGAACCCATGACCTTCTGATTAGAGATATGCGTCTTAACCACTTGAGTTATACTCGGTTTGTTCCATTTTGTTCTTAAACTTTGAAAATGTTTATTTTGATCATTCATATTTAAAATAGTAATCATTTTGGTATGGGTCCTTATTTTGATTTTAATAAATTAATAATACTACTTTGAGTAGATAGACTACATATGTTGAAAATGAGTACTAGGTAAGTAAATTTTAAATGAAAAAATAATATAATAAATTTCTAAATTATGGACTAAATTAGAAATCATGAAAATTCAAGTGTCATAGTCGTTCGAAAGTTCAAAAATTCAAAAGTTAAAATAGACATTTTGGAAGTTCATACAGAGCAAACCTAAATATTCCAACACCAAAATATGATTTAAGCTATTATTTTTATTTTAATATTTTTAAGAACCGAAGACTAAATAAGAAAATGTCAGTGAAAAAAATTGAATTTTGAAAAATAAAATCTAAATTGAAAGTGTTATCAATTCTCAAATTACCAAACTTTCCAAATTCAAAGGCATAAAAACTTTTTTCTAATTAAAATAATTGGTGCTTGCCGTTTCTTATTTTATATATTTTATTTTTCTACCAGTAATTATTCCATCGCCCTATAAAAAGTCGGTGTTCTCATCCTTTTAATAATTTTATCACGTGAAAATCATGACAATTTTGCTTGAAGATGTGACATTTATTTAGGTATATAACAAATAGCATAAATAAATATGTAATTTTAAATATAGTAGAAATTTTTAAATTTTATGAAAATAATATTAATTTAAACAAAGTTTTTTTTATTCCTTCAAATGAATAGTTGATCAGAGAAAACACATTTTAGAACTGTCAAATTTCAACTATGTTTTCTTAAAAAAGTTGTCATATTCTAAAAATTTCGATTGTTTAAGGGGAACATTTACTTTTTTTTTGTTCTTTCTTGTCAAAAAAAATTATTTTGACCTCTAAAGTTTTAATAAATTACGAATTTCAATTTACTACTAACATGAATACAACCTATTTATAAATATATTTTTACTTTTTTAACTTCTAAAAAGAAAAATGTTCCTCATACTAAAAGTAAATCAAAGTTCATCTTAAAAAAATGCATATATGATAATGCTGAAAATATTTTTTATAATTCATGATTGGTCAAAATTTAATACCTAAAATATCTGGACATCATAGTATCAATGGAAGAATCATATTTTTTAAGCTAATGAGACAATTTTTTCCTGTAAATACTTTTAGAATAGAAAACTAATTACCTACTCATTTGACAAATTTGTTTTTCTAATTGTTTTTTCTAGAAACATAAATTTCATATTTGCTTGCTAACAATTTTGTTAATTTTGTTTGTTTTATAATTATTTGAAACCTTCACCGGATGCTTACAAAAATCATTAATTAAGTGCGCATATGTTCAGAAAATGTTAATATTTTAAGATGATATATTACCTTATAGCCTTAATTTAATAACAATTTTATATTTTATTTTTAGTTTATATAGATCTGACTTTCATTTGTGTGTGTTTTTTTGGTTATCTATCTTTTCAAACTCATATGTGACAAGTTGGGTTTAGATTAAAAAAAATTAACTATATTTTAAAACGTAAATAAAGATGTGACAGTGTAACATTGGTTGAGGAGTCTTGCAGATCCAAACTAGTACCTCCCTATCATAACCTAGAATTGATGTGGTATTCAGTTAAATGCATTATGAAACTTAAGTTATAACCGATAAGGTTATGGAGCATAAGTAGAGAGCTAGTAGTTAAACACAAAATATTACGTATTTTTTGGAATGATTTGACTCCACCCTTTTATATGAGAAAGATTAGAGGGGAGTATACTCGCTCTCGACACCCTACGGGCCTTTTCCTCCTAGTATTACTGTAAATCACCAAAATAAAATATATAAAAGCGTTTGGAAAATTAAAATAGATGTGGATGTAAAACTTTTAAGACCCACGTCTGGTCCCCGACCCGACCCGGTCGCAGGGGACTAGAGATCTCTGATTTGAGGTTCAGAGGGATCAGACAGTAATAAATATTTTATCAAATTTCCATGTTTCGAACATCAATATCAAAGCGACACGATCATTGGTCGTACGTGTGGTCCAACCGTTTCCCACCACGTGGCAATTCTTGCAGACAAATAGTCCATATTCACGAAATTACTTTGAAATTTCATTTCTTGTCTGGACGTTTGATTGGACCCTCCCTCTCAAATAAAATGGTTATAGTTGCATTTTATATTTTTGTCTGAAATATGGAAATTTGTATATCTCTTTTAAATACACTATTTTTATCTTTTTAAATTCTCAATTTTACTCTTTTAACATATTAAAAATGATAGAGAATGTTTAGGTAGGTCCCTAGTATAGTTCCCTATCCATGATTCTGCTATTTACTGAAATAATGTTACTCGAGGCATCCTTCTGAATGGTACTTTATAAAAAAAACAATTAAATTAAATTTTGTATTTTAGTGGAGATTTAAACTCATAACATTTTTAATTTTTTTATAAGTTATGTCACTTTATAGGAAAATAAATAAATTAAATCTTATTTTTCAATACCATATAGACTGAAATTCGAACTCTTATATGCGTTAAATTGAGTTATACTAAGGTTGAAATTATTAAATTTTTATTTGAACAAATAATTGTTAAATTTTGTTGATAGAAAGTCATGCTTTTTGTTTTTAAGTACAAGAAAGTTGATAGCATTGTTAAATTATTGCTTTATTAATATATTTATACATGTGAATATCCCGAATGCTAAAAATTGACCCACAAGAACCTTTTAGTTAATTGTTAAAGTATAACTCATCCTTAAAGAAAATCTATTTTTCTAGGTGACATGTTCATGTGTCAACTATGTTACTAAAACAATATAATTTGACGACACATAAACATTATGCCAACAAAATTTAATATACATTTTTACGAAATTACTAAGTTTAAAGTTTTTAATATTAATGACAAATTTGATAACTTTAAAAAGTGAGGATCAAATTAAAAATTATTTTGCCAAAGCGAGCATAGCTCTAATTGGTATATATCTCAAATCGAGAGATTGTGAGTTCGATCACTCACTCCTACCTATTGAATATTAAAAATAAATTACTTTAAAAATTATTAATTATTTGGTATATTTCGCCTATATTTTAAGACTTGAATGAGAATAAGTAGTACTATTTTAATTTGAAAATATAGCCATTTTATAGATACGTGTATTATTATGTGGTAGTAATGATTTTTATGTATGAAGGAACCTTTTTAGTTCAACAATATATAGGTAGAAATCTAATGGTTTTTTTTTTCTTTTGATATACGTGAAAATGACACCATGACTATTTCTCTACTTATTTATTTATTAGTTTAGACTAAGCGGTTTCAAAATCAAACCAAATTTGTTTATTTTTCCTTTCAAGGTATTATTGTATACATTTTTAAAAATTAACTACTGTTTTATTTAAAAAAACTAAAACTAAAAATTTTTTATAAGTAAACTACAAATAAAATGGTTATCAAAAGAAGCAAAAGATTTCAAATCTTTCATATTTCTGCCGAATTGTTTGAAATTTCTCACGTTTTTGCCCTTTTACTTCTTCCCATTCACATCCACCATTATGTATGTCTGAAACTGAAAGACCCCTCCATTTGGAGAGAATCGAAAGCAACAATAATAGGGCACATATGTAATTTTACATATTACTATTTTATTTTTAAAATCTCAATTATTGCAATTCCAATTGCTCGTTTTTTTTTCTCTTCATTTGAATTCATAAATTGATGAGGTGTAGCATTAATAACCTTATTATTTTATAAATTAACACTTTGAATTTTCACCTCCTACTTATGTGAATTTTTTTCGAATAACTCCCTATCTTTTTTTTTTACTACAACGTAAGGGTGAGGATCGAACTCACAACCTATTAAAGATATATGTCAATTATCACTGTATTATTGTTATCATTATAATCTTGTCCGACCATGATGGTTACTATTTAATACACGAAAAAATTCTTAATGTCTGTCAAAAAAAAAAAGGAGTTCTTAATATTTGAGTGTTTTTTTTTTCAATTTAGTCACTTTATACGGCCTTTTAACATGCTCTGATCATATATTTGTGACATGTGCATATAAAATGGTTGATGATAATCTTATACATGATAATTAGTGAATTAGTAACAATTTAGAGAAAGAATGAGGTTATCTAAGAAAAAAATTGTAATTTCTTCTTCCAAATTTATAAGAAATTGGTAGATATATATATATTTTTTCATTTAAATGCCTAATTAATCATCTAAATTTTCATCAACTCAGTAAATATAATGTGGTTCATGCTTATTCACCATGGTATGATTAAAAAATGTTAAAGAAACAAAATACTAAAGTAAATTACAACTTTTCAAACAATATGACCAATAGTTACTCAAAAAAGATCGATATGAAAAAACACCAAAAAAAGTTTTAACATTTTCAACCGTTAATTTTTGTAATTTACGTTATATTATTGAAAAAAGAAAAAGAGAAAAAAAAAGTCGAGAAAACGGACTGCAGTCAATTTTTCAAATGGATAACCAAGTAAATAAAAAGGCTTGGATATCATCAATATTGTGAAGGCTGAAAATTCTATCTAAAAAAATGATTGGTCTGATATCTCATTCTTCACATCCACAATCCGATTGACAGAGTGGGAATTGGGAAGCAATTATTTGCAAGCTCGACAGGAATGGCAAAGCACGTGATCACCCCGTGACATAGTGACACAATTATCTTTTTTAGTTCAAGATAGAGATTCAAAAATATTTGAAGCTTTCATCTATCTTCGTTCATTTTGGTCATCCTTATTTTAAAACGACTTTTAAAAAGTGATCAATTTAGTCCTTTTTCACATTATTTTAATATGAAACTTTTGAATCTAAATTTGTTATTATATTTTAATAAATTCGATAAGCGAAGTATCGTATTAAAATTACAATGGAGAGAAATACTATAACTGATAAAAAATATTAAAATTATAGCGACCAATATAGACGATCTAAAAAATAGAGACTAAAGTAAAATAAAATTGATAAACCAAACTAATATTTAAATCCAAATTAATTGAATTATGTGGTCATTAATTTCGGGGTTGCGAAATTCACTGAATAAATAAACTAATAACAACAATAGCCGCCAAACATGTATTCTATACTTGTCTGCATGAGGGCCCCTACTCATACGGCAACCGAATCTCAACTTGCGTTTTGTGTGTAACCACTCTACTTTATGACTATTTATTGTCTTCTTCTTTTTTCCTTTTTTTTGTTTTTTGTCATTTTACATTTAATTTTCAAGACTTTCACATTTATCGGTTAAATTGTATTCATATCCTTCTACTTTTAAATTTTTCATTATATTATTTTTATTTTTATGTCTCTATCATAAATGAGAGACAACAAAATTTTAAGCTCTGTTAGATAAATATTTCATTTTAGTTTTATGTTTTTATAGATTAGGTTTGCTCTCTCATAATAGTTTATATATTGTTTAAAACACATTTAATTTTTTTTTTGTTGTCAAATTTCAAAATAAAAACACGTTTTAAAAACTTGTTTCTTTTTAGTTAAATAAAGATGACTTATATTATGACAATGTTTTTAAATAGTAGTTATCAAAATAAATAAAAATATAAATAGAAGTAATCTTTATGAACTAAAATTTAAAAGCAAAAACAAAATGGTTATAAAATGATATTTAATGTACCAAATTATGTGTGATTAAATTACATCACACAATTTTAAGATGCATTCATAATACATAGCATGAAACTATAAATGTATTTCCAAATATAACAGACAAGTTTATAATTTTATAAATTCAAACATAAATGTAATAGATAATTGAACTCATTTAGAAAGATTACACTTATACTATAATTTAAAAGGAAAAAAAATGTTGTGAAACTGTTAATAATATGTATTAAATTATGTTGTAAGGAAGATTATCCCTTCTTAATAAACATTATTCCTCCCTATGCTCGTTAGTTAGTTATTAATTCTATCCATATGGAAACCTAAGCAAATGGTATATATGTTTGATCAAAAGGAAAGATATTCAAACTCACACTTTCACATGTTAATTGAATTAAAAAAAACAATTATATATCAATGAGTCCATCTAAATAAGATTTATTAAAATTTATCAATTAAATAATTAACTAAAAATGTTTAGAGAAAATCAAGTGTCATTAAATTATTGATTTGTTAATATATTTAGACACGTGAATATCTCACTCAAAAGAAATGAAATTTGTTGACGGGTGTGTCAAGTTTAATCGATAAAAGATTGAAATAAATTTATATTATGAAATTTAGAATTTTAAAAGATTTAATAATCAAATTAAAATTTATTTAAAAGATTAACCGCAACATTATCTGGAGAAAAAGAAAATGGATAAATGCGTGTGACACCGTTTCGAAAATAATTCAGGTACTCGCCAATGAAGTGTGTGCCTACACGAAAGTAAAAGGAAATGCCTTAAAAAACAAAAAAGAAAGTAAAAGGAAAGGCAAGGCAAGGCAATCAAGCAAATTGTCCACCGGTAATAGCCGGTTGTCCATATCCGATCAGTAATTACAGAGGAAGGGCATGGCACGCCGCCCAACGTTGAATTCCCAACCCAGTCCAACTTCCTCAAGGAACCGGCTATAGCCCGTCCTCGTCACGAGAATATTCCTATCGGTTTCCCAAAATTTTGTCCACGTTATCGCGTTCTCGCCCAGTATAAATTCCCAATGCGCCTCACTTCGTCATCTTCACGGCCGCTTCTGCTTTCTTTCAAACGTTTTTCTCATTCCCTGCTCCGATTCCGATTCCGATTCATCGCCATCGTAAAATTAGGGTATAATAGCTGCCGGCGACGGGAAATTTGAGAGTTCCTCGTTCGATCTTTATATAGGCGATTTGTATATAGGGACGATGCCGAATCCGAGGTCCTACCGGAAGGGGGCAGAGGATAAGAATCGGAAGGGGAAGCTTACTGAGAAATCGTCGTCGTTCCATGGGGAAAGTTCGACGAAGACGACGACTATGCTTCGGCGACCGAAGACAGATCCGGAGTTATCGTCCTTCAAGAATCTAGGTATATCGGCGCCGTCGCTGGATGGACGGCCGAAGATGACGAAATTGCTCCTCAACGTGACGATTCAGGGGAGCGTAGGGCCAGTACAGGTAATCGTGTCGCCGGAGATGACTGTCGCTGATCTTGTGGCGGCGACCGTACGCCAATACTTGAAGGAAGGCCGTCGGCCGATTTTGCCGACTACAGATCCCTCCACCTTCGACCTCCATTATTCGCAATTCAGCTTAGAAAGTAAGCGATCGATCAATTCTCATAACGTCCTTCCACTGTGATTGTTTTTATCCATTGTTCTGAAATTCGCGGGGCGATTCTAACGAGGTAATGATTTTGTATCTCAGGTTTGAATAAGGAGGAGAAGCTAATAGCCTTGGGATCTAGAAACTTCTTTCTGTGCCCTAGAAAATCAGAGGACGAAGGCGATGTAATGGCTTCTTTGTCGTCGTCCTGCTCGAAACAGGCTGAAGAAAGTTCGAAGACTTCCAGCAGTTCCAGTTGGTTCAAATTCATCGATTTCCGGATTTAGATACCGCCATAGAGAACCGAATTCCTTAATATTTTCAATCTATCACTGTGAAAAATCATCTTCCAATTCTCTAGGCCATATAAGTTATGGTAGAATTATCTCCAGTACTAAAGTTCTTGAGCAATTTCCAATTGCTTGGTTTGATTATTATCCTAGTTCGATCGAGCAAAGGAAAAGCGATATTTCTGCAACTCTGTTCTTCGCTTGCTTGCTCAGAATCGACGCGGGGAAGATTTCGATTTTCAATATGTACATAATAGGTTTTGGTAATCGATCTGCTAGCTTAAATCAGCTCCGGAAACCAAAATTTTCCGGGAAAATTCTGTGAAGATGAAAATAATTAATGTGAAAAGTGTGTTAAATTCAGTTTGTGCCTGAGATCTCTAGCCTCTCCCAAATCATTTCCTCAGCTTCTGAAACTTCCAGCTTCAGATAACGGAGTTACAGTTGGAAGACTCTTGGAACTTTCGTGCTAGTTCTGAAAACTTGGGAGAAATATGAGTTACTTGATAATTGATATGGGAAGAAAAAATTCAGTGAAAGAAAAGAAGTGTAATCGCTACAAAGTTCAATGTTACCACGAACTTTCAGATTTATTATTTTAGGAACATTTGAACTTTTAAAGATAAATTTCATCATTCTTGCGGCGACGTCATCTACCATGTTTATTTTGTACCTTTTTTTTTATATAAATAAAAATGGGATAAGATTCTCTACAACCCATGAGGAAATTTGTTGGTATCTATCACTTGAATTGTACTCCAATTACAAGCAGTATTTTAAATGTTTATACGAACTTTCCTTTCTAAATTTTATGAAAATGTGTGAAATATTGAAAAAATGTGGACATTCCTGAAAAATCGTAAAAATAAAAAATTGTATAATAAATATTTTTTTAATATAACAATTTATACATGAGAATCCAACCTTCAACCTAGAGGAAAAAAGTATATGTCAATTACTGTCGGAAACATTTAAACATTTTAAATAAGTTAAAAATTATTAATATTAATATGTTTTTGATCAATTAATATTAATACTATGTTATACATCAGTGGTAATTTGTTGATATATGTATGTGTATTTTTTTGTGAGACTATGAAAAATGTTGATTTATCTCAATGTCGATTTTAAATAAGTTAAAGATTATTAATATTAATATGTTTTTTATCAATTAATATTAATACTATGTTATATACCATTGATAATTTGTTGATATATATATGTGTATTTTTTTTTGGTGAGACTATGAAAAATATTGATTCATCTTAATGTCGATTTTAAATTTATAGATATGTGAAAATGTCGACCATCAATAAAATTTAATATCCTTATTTAACTTTAATTTTTTTAATTTTTAATTATTGATGTTATAATTTAATATATGGGACTGAGTAATATTCTTCCATACCAGTCAATCATAAAAAGTTAAATATATATATTTTATTTGCAAGTGTAATTAAAAAAAAGAAAGGAATAGATAAACTTACGTGTTTTAATTATATTTAAAAAACAATAAAAAATCCAAATAACCTGGACGGCTTTTAAAAAAATAAAAAAACAAATAAAGCAAAAAATCCATATTAAAAAAAAAAAAGAAAAGAAACGAAAACCTAGTGGTCAATATGGAAAGGGTGCAACGGCCAGTGACTTGAATACAATGACATGTCAATAGTCCAACGGCCGACAGTGTGGGACCCATTTTTTGTTGAATTATAAGTGACTTTTTGACCAATCAAATTTTCTGAGTTAAAAAATTGGGTAAAGTGCACAACCCACGCACTTTATGCTTGTCACAATTACACTTCGAATTTTTAAGGTAAAGATTAAACGGTTAAACTTTTACCAGGATGAAAATGCACCCCTAAAGTAAAATGATTGTTATAACTATCTCTCCAAATTTTTAAATTTTTAAGTGCAAAAATAAACCGTCACTATGTGACAAAATTGTACCTCTAAACTTTTCATTTTAAAAAATTAAATTCTTAAAAAAATAAATTTATGTGTAATCACCACTGAATTATACTCGTTTTTGTAAATGTATAAATTTTTAACTTATAAAAGTTTAAGGTTATTTTTATCATTGAGAGTCTTAGGAATGTAATTACGACAATGGTCATACTTCTGGATGGTTTATACAATTTCTCAAAAAAAAAATTACTTAAACTTTTTGGTAATGAAAATTTTGGTTTATTTGTCCTATAATATACTTTGTAAAAATATTTCCATGTCAACTCATCACATCTTGGAGTTGGAGAAGGTAAATGATTTTAAAATTATAGTTCAAAAATTAAAATTTGTTACGATATTCAAAATTAAGGATATAAAACAAACTTTTATATCCGGAATAAATGATAGTTGTCACAATTTCTAAAAATATATATATAGTTGTCACAAAATTATGATATTAGTAATTAAAATATTTTTAAAAAATAAATTATTAATAATTAAATGGAATCATACTAATGCCCAGGAAGAATGAACTAGCAACTACTGTTTCGTCTCGATTACAAGTAGCTAGACTTCCCATCCTCGAACTATAGGATTGGGACTTGAACCCTAAACCACATGATCCTCGAGAGTTTGTCTATGTGTTAGGTTACATTTTGAGTTCGTAACATAATATATTATCTCATTTATTTATTTTTTGTCCTATTTTATTGAAAAACTCGTTGGATAGACTTGTACTAATTATTTTTACCATCAAATTGACAATAGATTTTGGCACGACTCTTAAAAAGAAAATAAAAAGTAGATAGAGTGAAAGGTGGCAAACTTAATATATGCAGTGGAGCTCAAACCTTATCCTAAATGGAAGGACATCTCATAATACCAAATTCCACGCTGAACTAAATATAGATGGAAATAAAACTTAGGTTGAGTTAATTAACCACCTTGATTAAAAAATTAACCTAGAAAAATTCAATTGGATTGGACATGAAATGAAATCAGGATGATATTTATAAACAAATACTATGTGGAAAAGATATTTGGACGTTATCCAAGATTCTTAAGATATTTACAATCTATTAGTTTTTAATTTCAATTATTCAAATCACTGTCCACAGCCCTCAAAATATCTTGGTACTTTTAGCTAGGTGCAGTGTAGATAAAAAATGAAGTTCTTTTCAATTTCATATCTTATTTTATAATTAACTAGGTTTTGAACTATTTTATTTTGATTCGATGTTTTTTTTTCAAATGGATTAAAAATCCACCCGTGTTTGTTAAGACACGTAAAATATATTAAAGAAATTAGGAGTCTAAGTATAATTTTAAAAACAGAAAACTAAAATGAAGTGACTATCGAATGAGTTTAAATTTAAAAGGTTGATGTCGATAAAATTTTGAAATTTTAATTTCAGGAAGACTTAAAAGAAAAAAAAAGTAACACATGAAGAAAAGCCTAATTGTAGCCTGGACACCCTAAAAATAGTATTATTATCCCCATGACCCTTACATTACACTAGTTAGAGTTTTATTCAACAATATGAATCATAACTTTTTAATAATTTGAAACCATTATTGGGGTCCAAAGGACTCTAAATTGATAACTTCATTTCAATTTTCTTTCTTGCTTCGTCCGTGTTAGTTGCTATTAAGTCAATTTTTTTGGGCCATTAGTTTTAGAGACGATATCTGCTGTTTTAGAAATTTATTTACATAGATGGTCTAAAATTTTCTAATTTATTTCTGCACGTATGATTTTTTTTTATAATACTGATTTTACTTTTATTTATTGCATTTATATTTATTATTGTTAAATTTTTTTGTTGCAATCTAAAATATTTAAATCGCTAAATGGTAGGCATAATCATTTAATTATTGTAGGCCCTATATTAAATTTAACCTTAATCCCTTATTCATTCATTCATATATATTAATGAGATTAGTACGTTGATAGTCTATATTAATTACAAAAAGGATTATGATGATTTTAATTTCTAAATTAATTAATGAGCAGGTAGATTTACCTATGATTTCAAATTCAAAATAGTTGGAAATATACCCACGATCTTCCAACGTTTTACTGCTGCATGCACTAATACTAAGGCGAAGTTTTGCTTCTACTCACGTTTTTTAAAATATTGCTCTGCTCACGTTTTTCTTCTTTTCACGGTTTACTGCTACTCAAAACCTTATATGTGGTTGCTGCTTTAATTTTTTTTTGGTGAGAACAAGATTCTTTCACATGATTTTCTTTGGTTGGTGATTGTAAAATATAGAAGATTCCTTTAGTTTTTTCTTTTTGTGAGAATTAGTTATTTGCTGCTTAATGTTATCCTGATAGAACATAAAAGTATTCATTTTTTTTAATCTTGCAATTTGGTATTTAATAATAGATATAAAATATATTCAGATATGATATTTAACTATTGAAGTTTCAATCTCATACATATAAATTTATGTAGTGTAGATATATGTTATATTTGTATATAACATTAACCTATTCTATCAATTTAGACATCTTAGCACATACTCATTATTTTGAATTGCTCTTATTAACATTAACCTAGCAAATGCAATCGAATCCAATACAATTACAAGATAAATCTATATGTTAAATATAAAATATATCTAACTATTGAGTTCCTATAACTACCAAAATGTTACTTAGTTGTAGATATATGTTATATCCACATATATAGAAGAATTCACACCTAAATTTCGCACCACTCAAATCATATTTGAATATTTCTCAATAACGGACTATTTATATTGGGTATGGACAATATATGGGTATGGAAAATATACCCTTCTGAAATCCTAGATTCTTTTTGAATGGAGTAACCGAAATCGAAGACTAAACAAACCTTTACTTTGACGGGCGTCCGGCAACGATAATGGAGAAACCGGTCTTCTACGAACTGCACGATTTGCTGCGGGATAAACTGAGTTAATGGCCAACAACAAGAACAGAATGACTTTACGCGACAACCTACTATGGACTGTTACAGGACAGTAAACGGAGAAAACGACCGAAAAGAATGATGTTTGGGGAAGAAGGAGAAACAAGCAGAAGAAGAAGAAACCGAAGGAGTAAATAAAGAAACCCTAGAATTATTTGAGTATTTTTATTTTTGGAAAGTCTAAATGGGCATAAAATAAGGGATTTAAAACCTAACCTACCAAATAAATCATTTTGATTTTCATAAATTTATTAATATTTAGGTGAAAATAAAGAATGATATAAAGGTAAATTGTTTATGGGTACCATCTTGACTATTTTATGATAAAAGTGTAAAATTTTGTACATTAAATCATTTTACGTAATTATAATCTCTAAATAAGCTATATAATCTCTATTTATGAACAGCATGATGGGTGTCGAAACTTGACACAACCCAGGTCTAAGTGGGCCGAGATAAGGATATGAAGAGCGGCCCACAAAGTTAATGGCTTTCTTAAAATCAAGCCCAGGCCTATGCTGAGAGCGAAAGTTCTCTCTGGATTATTTGAAACCCTAGAGCCCCAAAAAGCTGGCGGCAATTCCCTTATAAAGTGCTTCAAACAATGACGTCTCCCTTCTTTTTCATTTTTCCTTCTCGAGCAGTGCCGTAGTTCACTTCCTCTCGAAGATATTTCTAAAACCCTAGCGTGTTCTACCTGCACCATCAATGGAGTTTTGGGGTAAGTGATTATTTCGTGGCTTTCTTTTTCGCTTTGGCTAAGAAGTTTTTGGTTGGCTAGAACGATGAGTTTTTGAGGCTCTAAATTGATCACTCCAACTTTCTACCTAATTTTGCTTCACTTTTGCTAGCGTCCTGTATATCGGTGGTTTGCAATCGTAATATTGCTGTCTTGTTTCTCTTTTGAGCTCCTGAATAACATGCTTGGCTTCTCCACTTATAAGCTTCTTCTCCTTCGTCTTGTTTTTTGTTTTTGTTTTTTCGGCCGGGGTGGGGTTGGGTACGAATACTACGACTTGCTGATGAATCAACGGGCTGTTTTGAGGATTGTCTTGAATAGATGATGTTGTATCGTAATATTTGGGTCGATAAATACTCGCGAGTTCTTTTATCTGTGACGTGAAGAACTCAAAATTTCATTATGTTTCTTTGGATTTCAGGTGTTGAAGTTAAGCCTGGTCAGGCACTCGCCGTGAAGCCTGGAGATCAAAAATATTTGCATCTATCACAGGTAGGAACACTTGTCTTTTTTTCTTTTTTTAATTTTTTAATTTTTGCCTAGACCACTGATTATCCTTGTTTAGTATCAACTCTTCCGGTGGTGATGAAAATGTTTTTATGCAGGCGACTCTAGGTGAAATAAAGAAGGACAAAGCTAATGAATCCGTGACTATTTTTCTGAAGATTGGTGACCAAAAGCTTGTTCTGGGAGTTCTCTCCGCTGAGAAGTTCCCGCAGCTATCATTTGATCTTGTGTTTGAGAAGGAATTTGAGCTCTCCCACAATGGGAAGAGTGGAAGTATTTACTGTTTGGGGTACCAGGCTTCTGCTGAGGACCAAGAACAATATCCTTCCTTTCCAATTTGAGGATTTATATTTCCCCTTAAGACAAGGATACTAAGATCTTTCATTGTGTTGATATTATGATTTAAGTAACAAGATTCACTTAGAACTATGCTTTCGTATATTTCCAGGAAATTGATACATACATTATTTTATCTCTAATAATCTAATGTGTATGAGTTTAGCTATAGTTGCATTTCATTTTATCTTCATGTCCAATAATTTGAAACATCATTTTTTTCCTTGACCACTTCCTGTGTTCTCTTTTCAACTGAAGAGTATCTTGGTAAGTCTATTAACTTTCATGAAAGTTTGCACCCGGTCAGTTCCTTGAGTAGTTCATTAGCTGAGTGTGTTTCATCTCATTTCAGATTCTGATTTTGGCTCGGAGGATGAGGAACTTGCATTGCACCCTGCCCAAAATGGTAAATGCATACCATGATTGTAAATATAATTGTATTTTTGAGGTAGGAAATATATTTGGCCCTTTTCTTAGCATCTCGTGATGACCTACTTTCAGGAAAACCTAGCCAGAAGGAGAAGGCTATTGTGGAAAAGCTTAATGCTATGAAGCCTGAATCTTCAAAGAAGGCTGATGTGAAACCTCTGGATCCAAGCAAGGAGGATGAGGATGATGATTCTGAGGATGACGATGAGTCTGATGAGGACGATGATTCTGATGATGAATCTGATGAGGTAGTAATGAGATTTTTACTTCTATTATCTTTTGGGAGAACTAATTTCATTCATGCATATGAAATTGAGAATACTGATGATGGTTCTTATTCAGCTTGATTGTTGTTGTGAGTTCAAAGTGATGGATTATAGTAATGCTACTGTTTGTTCTCTTCCACAGTTAACTTTGCTTAATTATATTTATGGGAAGTCATCATTGGACGAGAGTCTAAATATTCCTTTTGTTTTCCATCTTCCTCCCTCGCTCTATTTTGTGAGGGCCTCTTTGTTTGCATTTTTTTATTAGAAGAATTATTTTTGGAATATTATCTATCTTAAGTTTATTCTTGCAGTGTGTTGGAAGCAGTCATTAGCTATAGGGGTACTAGTTTTATTTTTTATCTATGCCCATAAAAGATTTTCCTACATATGGTCAGATTGTTTGCCTCGCACGAAGGGAGTATTTTACGAAGCAGTTGTACTAAACACAGCTACCAGGAAATGGATATTAATATTTAAGCATAGTGTTCTTAATGAATCCCATAACAAGCACTCACAATCTGGTGTTTTCCAATTATTGTTGCCATTGTTGGGACTATTAGTGAAGGCATTATTCTAGTCATGATAACTATTTTGAGGTTTTCAATAGATTCTGAAGCTTGATTTGGGCATGGTCCCTGATGTAGCTTTGTGAATCCTTATTGTTAAGCTGCTATAATAATATTATGTGTAATAGGAAATGCTAGGAGCTGATAGTGACTCTGATGATGAAGATGATGGTACCGAGAGTGATGAGGAGACACCGAAGAAGGTGTGTTGTGGGCTAAGTTGTTTTTATTCTATTAGTAGTTTTTTATATGAAAAGTTGAAATATTTATATCTAGTCTATTAAAGTTTTCTCTTCTTCAGGATCATTTTGATTGCGTCTTGTCCTTGTAGGTTGAATCAAACAAGAAGAGGTCGAATGATTCTGCCTCCAAGACTCCCCTTTCTAAGAAGGCAAAGCTAGCTTCAGCTGAAAAGACTGGTAATTCTTCTGCCCATTTATTTATTTCATACTAACATCATGGTATAAGCATTGTTTCAAGGATAACTGTACTGAACCTTATTTAAAAGATGTCTTAAAAGGTTAGTGTTAGCCTTTCTCTTTCTTTATCAATTTAGCATAATGGTGTTAGCTTAGCTTCAGAAGTGGATGGGATTTGCATCAAAATTCCGATACCTGTTGAATATCGTTTGTACTTAACTTTTAGTTTGTATGCTTTCAGATGCAAAGAAGGGAGGGCATACGGCTACTCCCCACCCAGCCAAGAAACCTGCGAAAACTGCTGGCAAGACTGAGACCCCAAAATCTGGTGGCCAATTCTCTTGCAAATCTTGCGACAAGTACGTTTCGATGTTATAGATTTGTTTCTGTAAATGTAGTGGTAACGAGGTTGCTGATGGTCATGCCTTTTATGTTTTAGATCCTTTGGTTCGGATGGTGCACTTCAGTCACACAGTAAAGCCAAGCATGCGGGTAAGTAAAAGGGAAAAGAAAGCGACGACAAATTATTTTGCAGCTCCAATATGTTAGTTTTCTAAATAGGTTGCGGTATTTGTTGAGATTTTGTGTTGAGATTATAAGATGAGAAGCGAATGTTGTTCAAATTGAGGAAGATGAATTTAGTTTTGATTAATGTGCTTTTTCTGATCTAATTGCTGTATTCTTATTGTGTTCGATAGAAAGTGTCAACTGTTTTGTGTTATGTGGTGGGGTGGCATTTTAATAGACGTATTATTTTTGAACCCCAATATTTTGTTCACGTCATTCTGCGGAAAATTCAAAATTGAATGCGTCTTGTGGTTAAATTTATAAATTCTTTTATCGTTTGAAAACTTTAGTTATATCTTCTGCTTTTCTAATTGTTTCAGAAATACCCTTCGAAGATATCTCAGATTAAATCGAGTGTAATCTGATGAGTTTGTGGCCTCTAGGCATTGCGTGAGGGGAAAACATGAGAAATCCTGGTTGTCGGTTGTAAAAATCACATGGAAACTTAAAACTCAACAACATTTGGTGGTATCATTTTGGATGTTGGGCTTCAAAATTCTATTTCACATTGAAATTTTTTTCAAGAAATCGTAAGTTAAAACTCAATTTAACATTTGGTGGTATCATTTTTTATGTTGGGCTTCAAAATGGGAAAGACACAAATTTCATCCCATTCAAATGGTAATTGAGATACAACTTTGACCTCGAATGATATTTTTTTATTTGGGTTTATTGAAATTAGAATGGACTTTAATCCATATTGCATAAATTTAGGCCTCTTGATTTTTTTAATAGTTGGGTCATGACCATTAATATTGAGGTCGAATCTCACCTAAATTTCATCCAGGATTCAGGCAAAACTTGGGGAAAACACACGCGGGATTTATGTAAAACTCAGACGAGTTCAACAAAAACTTGCCCAAAAATCATACAAAACTGAGCGAGTTCGAATAAATCTCACCCAAGTTATGAAAATTGTGGATTCATGGACGAGTTTCAATAATTTAGGATAAATTTCAGATGAAGTCAAGTGATACATGTGCAGATTACTTAAAAAAAATGTTCCCTGGCTTGCTGCGTACATGGACCATTATCCTCAAGTGCGAGGGTTTAACTATAATCATAGTTGTTTTTTAATTTTTATCTATTTCTAATTTTTAGAAAAAAAATAGTTACATCCAAAAAGTTTTGAACTCAAGCCCTTAAGTGGGTGAAACGAAATCCACCGGGCCAAAGGAAAAAAAAAAAACTTCCAAACATCTTAGATTTAACTTATACTTAGCCTCACCTTTATTCTAAATCTTTTATGAGTACATATTATAACCTTTTTTTGTCGTTTAAAGTTGGTTTCTTTTTTTTTTTTCCTTTCTTTTTCCTAGTTTTAAAGTTGTTAAAACTTAAAAAATAAAAGGTTAGATTGCATTCGAAAAAAAACAAAAACAAAAAAGATATATATATATATATATATATATATATATATATATAATTTAAGGGTGGTTACCCGCCAATCTGTTTCTCCTGCATCTTCGAAACCGGTTTGTCCGCTGGACGTCTGAGAGTCAGAAGAGAAGATGGGTTCCAATTTCATGGGTGTTCATCCAAACAAAACCAAACAAAACGCAACCAGAATCCAATTCCTTCAATCTTTCTTCCTTTTTCGTCCTCCAGATTTGTGCCTGATCCTCATCTCCCTTCCGAGCAAAAATGACCGTCATCGACATCATCTTCCGTGTCGACGCCATCTGCCAGAAATACGACAAGTATGATGTCGAGAAGCAGCGCGAGCTCAATGCCTATGGAGACGATGTCTTTGCTCGCCTCTTCGCCGCCGTTGAGCTCGAAATCGAAGCCGCTCTCAAGGTTTCTCCAATCTCCCTTCCTCCTGCTTCTAATTCTTGGATTGGATTGCCCGACATTAATTGATTCTTTTTAGAAATCTGAGACCGCCGCGACTGAGAAGAATAGGGCTTCTGCAGTTGCGATGAACGCCGAGGTACGCCGGAAGAAGGCCCGATTGATGGACGAAGTCCCTAAGCTCCATAAATTGGCCCGCAAGAAGGTCAAAACAAAATTTCCCCGCTCTAATTTGGGCTTTGGCTTTCTCCTCTCTTTTCTTTTTGATYTCTTAATTTAATTGAATGTGATTGTTTATGAGGACAGGTTAAAGGGGTTCCGAAAGAAGAGCTTGCGGTGAGAGGCGACCTTGTTCTTGCGCTTGAAGAGAGGATTAAGGCGATACCGGATGGGGCTACCTCAGCAGGCAAACAATCTGGAGGATGGGCATCCTCCTCATCATCTAAAAACATCAAGTTTGATTCATCATCAGGTTTCTTAATCAAGCTAGAGATATGTTATGTTTGTTCATTTTTTGTTTTACTTTCTTAAATGGGAAACTATATGAGGCTTCATTGTTTTATGACCAAATCTTAGATGGAAACTTTGAGAGCGAGTATTTCCAGCAAAGTGAAGAATCGAGTCAGTTTCGGCAGGAGTATGAAATGCGGAAGATGAAACAGGCATGTGAGTTTCTTTACCAATTTTCTGCCATGGAAATTTGTTATTAGCTCATACTAAATTGCACTAGACGAATGAGAAAGAAATAACGTTGTAGAGGCTTGATCAAATCGAATGAGTTGGGCAAATTTAATCTTTCTAATATATTCTCACATTAATGGACCTAGGAGTTGTTCTCGGATTTTCTAAAGAAAAGGGTCTTCATACATCCCTACCTCATCATTTGGAAAGAAAAAATTTAGCACCGAAGAAAGGAAAGAGCGAGATGGTTGTTTTTGTCGTTCCTGCAAAATGAAGATCGGTTATACAATTGTTTCGTTAATCTTTACAGGATCAAGGTCTCGATATCATATCTGAAGGATTGGATATGCTGAAAGATCTAGCTCATGAAATGAATGAGGTCAGTAGTGAAAGAAAAACAACTAAGTGGTTTAATAGTGCTTTTGGGCCATCTAATTGGTTTTATCCTTGTGCAGGAATTAGACAGGCAAGTTCCATTAATCGACGAGATAGACGCAAAGGTAGAATTTACAAGTTTGTTTGGTCGAGGTTGAGCAAATGATAAGTCTCTTAGCTGGTTCTGCTATTGACACTTCTACAGGTAGACAAGGTGACTAATGAGATTAAAAATACTAATGTTAGACTCAAGGAAACACTCTATGAGGTAACTAATGTCTTATCCGAGCCTGTCGTTTCATTCGTTAAAGCAAGCATTGTCCTAACGAACAACCCTTTTTTCCTGTGTTGTATTCGAAGGTGAGATCCAGCCAAAACTTTTGCATTGATATTATTCTTCTATGTGTTATTCTTGGAATCGCTTCTTACTTGTACAAGTAAGTTTTCTCTCCCTCTTTCCAAAAGATTGCAGTTGTCTTCTAACATATTTATCTAACAGTTGTCATGTTTCTGCAGTATATTAAGCTGAGATTATTTAAGAGCTTCTTGTCTCACTTATTTAAGTTACGAGGTATCGTGGAGGAGCATTCATCAACTTGAACAACGTTTTTCAATGATCTTCTTACCTATGGGTAGAATATCTTTATTTCATTACTGAATTTACTGTCACGCATTCACTAAGCTTTTATGTAATTGGAAGAATTCAAATATCAAGATTATTTTCTTGGCTTTGGTTTATGCTTTTGTAATGCTTCATCATTATCAGTGGCATAATTGTGATAATATGGTAAGAATATTATATACATTACAAACAATGAAGAGATCTAAATATCCAATGACTTGAACATGGATAATAATTTGAGCTATCTTAACCGTCATGGGATGGCTCAAGTGGTCAATAAGTGCCTTTGTAAATAATAAATGACTTAGAGGGAATGAGTTCAAACCAACGAATTTTATTTAGAGGAAATAAATAAATAACGAAATTTATTTATTTTTATTTAGTCATTCACAGAAGGGTATAATATAAATGTAGGTTTTAAGTTATTAAAAAAAACCGTGAATTCTTTCTGCTTTGTATACATAAATTTAAGAGGAACTCCATTTCACTTCATGAATTTGTAACAAGATCATGTTCTTAGTGTTTATGGGCACTTAACACATAATTTTTAGCCCAGGCTATAATGTTCAAATAAATACACTAAATTCTTTAAAGTTTGCCCCTTATTTAATCTATGATACCCATTCTTCAACAAAAAAAAAAAAAAATTTACATGGAAGTAAAAATAGAAACCATCATAATTACATATTTTAGTCACCATTTTCTTATAATTAATTATTAAGAAGTAAATGTGCTTAAAAAAATTATTAAAAAATAAATGTTGCCGACTTAAAGTTGGCTGAGATAAATAGACACATCTTATTGGACTTATGAGATTACAGCCCATAAAATCAATCCACTTTTCGAAATAAAGCCCAAGCCCAGGCCCAGTGCAAAATTTGTCGCTCCATTTTTTGAAACCCTAAGCTGCAAAAATGCTGGCGGCAATTCCCTTATAAAATGCTTCAAACAGTTTCGACCTTCAATCCCAGCTTTACAGTTCACTCCCCTTTTCAAGGTTTTTCTAAAACCCTAGGGTCTCTTCCTGGTACCGTCAATGGAGTTTTGGGGTAAGCGATTCTGCATTTTCATTATTTCTAGCTAAACCACACGATCCACCTGCACCTTTCTTTCGCTAATGTATTATTTATTCGTATGCGGGCTCTAGCCCTGTCTTTAACGTTTTGCTCGGCCTTTTCTTTACCAATTTTTTTGCCTCTCAGTTTTCATGGAGGGATTGGGTATATAGACTACGATTTCAATTTTCGAAATGTCACTTTCTGATGAACTACTTGTCTTGTCGTCGTAGCGAAAGCAGTTGACATTTGTCTCGTAATGTTTTGATTGCTAAATACTATCACGAATACCTTATTTGCGGCTTGTTAATTACATTTGTTGGGATTTAGGTGTTGAAGTTAAGCCTGGTCAGTCACTTGTTGTGAAGCCTGGATTTCAAAAATATCTGCATCTATCACAGGTAGGTATCGTTTTTCTTTGTTTCCCAGTCGAACTACTTATTATCCTTGGTGTCGACTCTTCTGAGGAGTTTCTTTTGTGCAGGCCACTATAGGTGAAACAAAGAAGGACAAAGCAAATGAAAACGTGACTATTTTTTTGAAGATTGGCGACCAAAAGCTTGTTCTGGGAATTCTCTCAGCAGAGAAGTTCCCCCACCTATCTTTTGATCTCGTGTTCGAGAAGGAATTTGAGCTCTCCCACAACGGGAAGGGTGGAAGTGTTTACTGTTGCGGATATCAGGCTTTTGCAGAGGATCAGGAACAATATCCTTTCTTTTCAATTTGACAATTTTTATTTTCCCTTATATAAACAATTATATGAAGCTTATAATACTTTATTAAGAAAGTACTTCATTTGGTACATATGGTAGAAGATTATTTTCTGCAGTGCTCTCATGATTTGAAGTCTTTCTTCCGTAATTGTTGTATTTGAATTAATTAGCTTAATAAGGATTTTTAGCTGCATAATGCTACGTTATATGATGGGACATTTTTTAGTACTTTTCTGTGATTGCGATGTTTCTTTTCCTTGACTGCCTCCTGTCTTCTGTCTTCCACCGATGATTATCTTGGTAAGTTGTTTTATTACCTTCTTTAAATCTTTGCAGCCAAACATTTATTTTTTGGATTCTTCTATGAGTTTGAGAAGTGGATTAACTAAATGTTCTTTTCAGATTCTGATTCTGGCTCAGAGGATGAAGAACTTGAATTGCTGCCCCCTGCTCAGAATGGTATATTCATCCCGTTATGTAACCATAACAGTATTTTTGTTGTAGGAAATATGCCCGACTCTGAACGAATTATCTCACGTTAATTTACTTTCAGGAAAACCTAGTCAGAAGGAGGAGGAGAAGTCTGTTGCTGAAAAACGTAATGCTGCAAAGTCTGAATCTACAAAGAAGTCAGATGGGAAGCCTCTAAAACCTAGCAAGGATGAGGAAGATGAGTCTGATGAGGATGAAGATTCTGATGGAGAGTCTGATGAGGTAGTATAAAAGAGATTATTGCACTTTTCTAGATTCTTGGAGAATTGTTTGATGCATCAATATGAAAATCAGATGACTAAGTATGAGTAATCCACTGCTAGTTATATTTTTATGGGAAGTCATTAGGGAATGAAATTCTATATTTTCCTCTTCTACTGTCCTATTTTGTTAAAGGCTTTGTCATTGACATTACATATCTCATACTTCATAGTTTTTTACTTTTATTTATGATTCATTTGACAAGCACTCAAAATCTTGGAGTACAGTCGTTTTATGTGAGAAGCAGTAAATATTGAGGATTAGTGAAGCCATTATCATGGACAATGGTGACTACCTGAGGTTTTCATTGTTTCTTCAATTAGGCATGAATATTTTACGTATTTGATAAATGATAGGAAATGCTCGAAGCTGACAGTAGCGACTCTGATGATGAAGATGATGGTACTGAAAGTGATGAGGAGACACCAAAGAAGGTGTTGTGGTCATATAGTTTCTTATCTTCTTTTTGTACTTCTTTACATGAAAAGTTTTAACATTTTATACGTTGGTCCATTATAGATAGCATCATTTTGATTTTCTTTTGTCCTTGTAGGTTGAATCAACCAAGAAGAGGTTGAATGAGTCTGCCTCCAAGACGACTCCCCTTCCTGCTAAGAAGGCAAAGCTAGTTTCGCCTGAGAAGACTGGTGATTCTTTGGACCATTCATTTATTTCGTACCAACATGCGGGCTTAACCATTTGTTTCTAAAATGACAAATTTTAGTTATCCTTTCTCTTTCCTTATCAAGTGATCAAAATTTAGCTTAGCTTTACAAGTGTGTGGCTTGTTTTCCATTCGAGTAGAATTGATGCCGAACTTGTTGGTTGTTTGTTGCCAGATTCGAAGAAGGGTGGCCATACAGCTACTCCCCACCCTGCCAAGAAGTCTGCTAAAACTCCTACTAAGTCAGAGAGCCCAAAATCTGGTGGCCAGTTCTCTTGCAAACCCTGCAACAAGTATGTTCGTCACTATAGAGATTACTTACTGAAAAATATAACGTTTCGAGGTTTCTGATGTCGTGTCCCCATTATAACAGGTCATTTGGTACGGATAAGGCACTTCAGTCACACAGTAAGGCTAAGCATGGGGGTAAGTAGAAGGAAGAGATGGCATATCATTTTGCAGCTTCGATATGGTTACTTTTCTAGATAGGTTGCAGGGTTGGCTGAAATTTTGTGGAGGGTTTGGAGATTATAGAACGAGAAATGAATGTCCAAATTTTGATAGTTTTGATTGATTGATGTACGTTTTCTGGTCTAATTACTGTATCCATATTGTTCGAATGAATAGTGTTTATGTAGGGAGGCAGTGTCTGTTGATGGGCTTGCATTTTTATTTTGGAACCTTGTATTTTGTTTTTCTGAGGAAATGAAAGCGGATAAATGTTTCTTTTTGAGAATTTGTTCAAAGTTATTAGGAGCTACGATCAATGCCATGACCCCCTTAGGGTAATCTCTGCTAGATGGAAATTCATTGTACTATATCAACATTAAAAAATTGTTTTATTAACGCAAAATCATAATATTTGACTAGGGGGACAAAAAAATGGATGAATTTTGCCCCAGTTCACTACTCATTAAAAAAAATAATCAATATGTGCGTAAGTATTAAATTAGTCAGATTCTCTTAAAACTATTAGATTAATCCAGAATCAAGGTACGTCGAAGAATCATAGTTTCTGAAGTTAACCTTACGAATTTATGAGATAAATACAAAATTGAAAATAGTTAGGTTAAATATACTGAAATCACCTCAGTTTTTCAAAACTTGCCTTTTAAATATTTTATGATTTTCAATCACCCAACACAATTGTCATTATGTATTATATAGTTTTTACCTAAAAAATGATATCATCACATAGTTAATCAATTACTGTAGCCGTAATTGAATTGTGAAATTTATTACTAAAATTATGGAGAAAAAGATTATCCGTGGGCAGAACTGCATCGAGAAGCAAGTAAAACTTATTTTTGTATTGTAATGTCATCTCAGCTGGTTTGCCCGAGAGGTTAAGGTGGAAGACTTAAGATCTTCTGCACATAAGTGCGCGTGGGTTCGAACCCCAAAGCCAGCAATTTTTATTCTTTTTCTTCTTTCCCAAATAATGCACGTTTATTTATTTTTTATAAAGAATAAAAATTCAACTTTTAACCTCCATTAAAACATCCATTTGCTCTATAAATTTACAGTTTTTTTTACTCTTATTTTTTCCTCTGTTAGTTCCATTTTCATCAAAATGGTCCAAAATGCAAATTATCCCCCTAATAACATCTATCATTCTTCTAAAAAGAAGGTTATTTATTTATTTAATAAAATATATATAGTGAAAATTTAAATCCACCCTCTTTTATCTTTTGATTAGAGGCAAGTACCTTGACCAATTGAAACTATGTTTTAGTTGGCCTCTAAAGAAAAGTTTGATTTTAAAACTCTCACCGAAATAATCAATGATAAATAACTTTTCTTTTTATTTTTCTTTTTTAAGATACAATGATAAATAACTTTTGAAGAGTCACGTAATTACAAGTATTTTTATTGAAGTTAATTTGAGAGCAAAATGATAGTTTTTCAATTATGACCCAAGTTTTACCACATGTCCAATTATGGCTTACTTTGACCTTAAATTCAGCAAAGCTTATTTATCCACTTTGAGTTTGATAATTGTAAATCACATATTTGGTGCTAATGAGTTTCAATCATAAAAGATAGATTATTTATTTTTAACCCTTTTTCTCAATTACGTCAGATGACTTAACACTCTATACTACTCTTTTTCCAAAATTCACAAAATTCTAATTCAGAATTAAAAAAAACTGTTCCATTCATCCTAAACGAATAGTTATTCATTCATATAATATAAGTAATGTTTTAAATGTCGATATTGATAGGAATATCGAGATCTCAATTTCATGGAAATGTCGATAAAAATATTGATAAAATATCAGTGTTGATGGATATTTTCGTAAAGATTATAAAAATAAAAAACTCAAAAAAATATTTAAATAAACAAATAATGGTTTAATATTTCTAAACCAGTTAAAAATAATTAATATTAATACTATATCTATATTAGTGAAATTTAATTGATATTTTTTTATATTTTGTCGATTTTTTTGGTAATATTATGGAAATGTCGATATACCTCTAGAGTCGATGTCGAAACCATGGATACATTGACATGTCGATTTACATATAGACATGTAGACGGACATTTAAAATTGTGAACACAAGCGCACCAATGGTCTATAAATATAGACCTTACTTCATCAATAACATTATGACACATTTTAAGTTATTCTCTCGCTTAATATGGTATCAGATGATATGTTTTCTTTGAGAGTACTTTGCAATTATGGAATAGACTAGGGCATGTTTTGAAACGTTTATAGTAGATAATATTTTTAATCGTTAAACTGTGTTTAGGTTGATAAACTCAAATTATGAATTACCACTAACTCTCCATGTAGTTTAGAAATTGAAATGCAATTTAGGTCTGCAAGTGTCTATTTTTTCTCAGAAACATTTTGGATAGAATAATAGTTAAATGTTTACCAATCGATACATATACTAACCGTCACATCAAATATTTGGAAAAAAGAAAAACTCGTACCAAAAAAAAAAGAGATATTGATAAATAAGTACTTAAATATTATTTTTGAGGATCGTTGTTGTCTGCATGAATTTGCTCTCTCTACATATGTTTTAGGAATATATCACTTATCGATTCAGACGCCATTCTTTTGATACGATACCATGAAAAAATCACACCCGTTAAAAATGAGACCAAACAAACAAACCATTCTGTGTATTGTATAATATAATATATTACAAATTTTTAGATCAAATTATTCACTTAATTTAATTTAAAACTAACACATTATTGTGACTTAAAAAAAACACAGTTTTTTATTGGATTTGAAGAACTACGTTCAGATTTTTCATTTAAAAAAATAATTTTTTGTTTGTTTTCTTTTGGAAAAAATATAATGTTTAACCGGGAACTTAACAATTTGTATCAATTTTATCCTCAACTTCTATTTTCGTCAAATTGCACCTTAAATTCTGATAAGTATTGCAACCTTCACCCTAGAGTTTAAAACATATTACAATTCATCCCTCCTATAGGTTTTCATTTGAAAATTTGTTAAAAAAAATATTCCTCATATGTTAAATGAATTGGTATCAAATTGATATATAGTATTGAACAATTTTTTTTCTTTTGAAATTTGTAAGCTTTTTGCATAAATTTAATAGACAAATTTGTGTATGAATTAAACATGGTTCTGTGCAAATCTTAATTTCCTTTAAATTGTTGAGGTTTTAATATAATTTTTCTAAAATTAAAAATTGGCTACTCTTATTTAAATTTAAGGTTCAATTTGATGAAATTTAGAGGTGGAGTAAAATTTTGCTAAGTTTAAGGGGTAACAAATAATTTTTTTCAATCTTTTTATCTGGTCTCATTTATGAGATGGTCTTTAAAAAAATAAAAAATAAAATAAAAAAAACTTTTCTTGGAGAGGGAATTTTGGGTTAAATGTGAAAAGGGTATCCCCTCCTAACTTATTTATTATGTGGGCATTTATTATTTTGAGCATCTTGTCAGATCAACTTGCTTTTGATGCTCCTCTGCTACTCATAATTTTCTAAATTTACAACAACAAAAAAAAATCATATAATCATAATATAATCATAAATTTTCAGTAGCAAATACCTTACAATTAGTCATAATTATCTATAGAGAAATTTATCTTAACAATCTTATGAAGCCAAGTATAAATATAACATTATTTTTAGTATCTTTCAAGCTGCAAATTAGTATTTATTTTTTAAAATCCATTTTTGTCTTTATCATTAAATTTCGATTAAAAAGTTGTCCTAGCTTATTTATACCTATACTACTCATTGATATTGCCCCGACCTTTCATAAACAAAGAATTTTAAATGAGACAGGAAAGAATATTGAAAAATATCTACACACTAAAGAAAAATTTGAGTACTAATTTGGTGTCTTACCTCATACACCATGTGAAACGTACCTAAGTGAGAACATGAACTGACAAGATTAAGTACTATAATAAAAATATTTTTAGAAGTTAGTCTCTTAATCCACTTAGGAACGGATATGTTTTTAAATACCTACTTGGACTATTATTTTAAACAAGAGAAATGTTAAAGTCCTTCATATACAAAGAATCACCCCATCAAGATGAGTTTTCATCTACCGTTATCATGTTCTGCTAACTCATTTCACGAAAATAAATTTCTAAATAAGAAAAAATATCACTAAATAACAAGCCGATCAATTTTAAAATATCGCGTTAAAGTATATAAATATCTAAACATTGAGATTTTTTTCTGTTTGGGTGATAATGAAGCTCTAATTCAAAATGCTCAAGTATGCTTTGCACACACTTAAATGAAGTGTTATTATTAGAAAACTACCAATAGGTATTCATAATTGGTGTGGCCATCAAGCTTATCCAAACTAAACAAAAAATTCATTCTTTTAATTAAAAAAATAAAATTAAAGAGATTAGTATGATGAAGACACTTCTACTTCAAGAAATTGCCAATGAAATACCATAAATACCCATTTGGGGTAATTTTAAAATCTTTATCTCACCCCCACCGACACTTTACAAAGTCAGAGTAAAAGCTGGCCTGTAACCATATTAATTAATTCATTCATTTTTTTGGGTTTCGTACAATAATTATTTTGGCTGTAGTCAAATTTCTTTAATAACAATTTTTAATTCTGTTTTCTGTACTCTTAGAATTTTTTTTTTTATATAGTTGGTCAATAAAATTATTTAAATTGTCTAATAGGTCAAAGGTATATGAATAACGGTTCATTTTGAATTAATTGGTTGGACACATGCATAATTTAACCATCAAGAATTTTAACTATTTTACAGAACAAATTGTCAGAGTAATACAGATTAATTAAAAAGAGACATAGCAAGGACGGAAATATAATTTGACCATAAGTAAATAAAAACTATCCAACTTTCAAACATGATACTCTTACATAATTCTAACAACCAATAGAAAAAAAATAATAAATAAAAAAAGAGAAGAAAAAAATAAGCAAAATGATTCTGTCCCAA